TGTGGTCAATGTAAGGTCATAGCTCAGTAGCAGCCAAGTGTCCCTCAGCCCCAGGCACTCAGCAAACAACTCTTCATGTGTTCCTGCAGCATCAAGCATGCAGCTTGGGAGATTCAGGTGGGCAGAAAGGACTCTGTTTTCCAAATATTGGGGATCTGTGCGTTGATGGCTAATTGCTGTGTTTGGTCACAGAAGTGTGGACAAAGAGGCGAGTGGCCATTTTTGCTCACACCACCATGCATGCATTGTTGCAAACCCCTCCCCTTCCACATAAAGTGATTTCCAGTGAATTTAAATAGATGATGCTCATTTTCTCTTTCTCTCCCTTTTGTTTTTGTTTTGTTTTAGCCAGACACTAAGGACTAAGGCGTTCAAAAGCAACTGCATATGTGGGGAAAATTAGAAAGTTTTAGAAAGTGACTACATAGGCCTGGCCAGGGAAAGACACAGGCTTAGAAAAAACCTTTTGTTTACATCTCAGGCTGTTCCTTGGCATAGAGACACCCTACTATAAACACAAACAATAACAAAAAAGAGTACACTTTGGAGAAGAGAAATAGTAATTTCCAGAAATATTACCTTATTAGATTCTATATACAGTTTTCAATAAAGAAACATGAAAATATGCCCCATCCAAACAACCACAACAAAAATAACAGAAACCATGCCCACAAAAGATCTGATTGTAGATCTACCAAACAAAACTGTTGAAACAACTGTCTCCAATACTCTCAGAGATTTGAAACAAGATTCTCACTACTGCATCAAAAGCAAAGAGATCTTCTTCTTATCGTAGTTCCTTACATGTTTTTTCCTTCTGAAAGAAATTCTGTGAACAGGAAAGGCATAAAATGAAGCATTTTAGGCTCTGGCTGGGTAGCTCAGTTGGTTAGAGCATCAACTCAATACACTAAAGTTGTGGGTTCAATCCCAGGTCTGGGCACATATAACAATCAAGTAATAAATGCATAAATAAGCAGAACAACAAATCTTTCTCTCCTCCTTTCTTCTCTCTCTAAAACTCAATCAATCAATAATTAAGCATTTTATATTTGAAAAAGCTGATTAGATGGATATGTATTTTCCTCATAATATTTATCCTTCTTTTAAAATTCTGATGCAGCCCTGGCCGGTTTGGCTCAGTGGTTAGAGAGTTGGCCTGCGGTCCAGAGAGACCCGGGTTCGGTTCCCGCTAAGGGCATGTACCTCGGTTGCAGTTTGTCCCCGGCCCTGGTTGGTCATGCGGGTGGCAGCCACTCAATGTGTCCCTTTCACGTCGATGTTTCTCTCTCTCTCCCTCCCTCCCACTCTATGTGAACAAAAAAATGGAAAAATGTCCTCGGGTGAGGATTAAAAAAGTAAATTAATTAAAAATAAAAATAAAAATAAATAAATAAAATTCTGATGCAATTTATATAACATAAAATTTAGAATTTTAAGGTGTACAAATAATGGGTTTTTAGTAATGTATTACTATCTAATTCCAGAACATTTCTATCACTTCAAAAAGAAATATCATCTTCTTATTTACTTTTTTTTTAATACTCACCCGAAGACAGTTTTGCATTTATCATCAGAGTGGGAGAGAGGGAGGAAAGGAGGGGAAGAGAGAGAGAGAGAGAGAGAAACATCAATGTGAGAGAGACGCATCCACTGGTTGCCTCCCACACGACCTGACCAGGGCCAGAGATGAACTGCAACAATGATATGTGCTCTTGACTGGAAGCAAACCCGCAGCTCATTGGTCCATGGGCTGACCCTCTAACTGCTGAGCCAAACCGGCCAGGGCCGATACTCTTAAATCTCTCTTCCCCTCATTCCCTGGCATCTACTATCTATCCTCTATATGGATTTGACCAATGAGGATATTTCATGTAAGTAAATGTATGCAATAAATTGACTTTTGTGTCTGATTTATTTCATTCAGCTTAATGCTTTCAAGATCCATTTATATTATAACATACATCAGTAATTTATTCTTTTTTATGGCTGAATTATATTCTATTGCATTGATACACCATATTTGTTTATCCATTCATCAGTGGATGGATAGTTAAGTTTGTTTCCACTTCTTATTTCTAGGTTTATTTCCACATTTTATTTAAACAGGATGTTATAAATGTTATACAGTAACAACTCCAGAAGTCACATTCTTCACTTACATAGCATTTGTTGTTGCTCATTGGTGTAATGGTTATTAGTTTTACTTAGTGACTTTTCTAGACTAATTAACTATAGTCTGTATTCCTAGTTGTGTGAGGCCATGAGCTCTCTGTTTCATAATTTCAGTGATCACTAATGATGGTGCAGAGATTCCCTTAAATGCATGAAACCTAAAAATCATCCATTTTTCCTAGATATCATCTACATGTGTGTTGGGGAACACCTTTAACACTTAGCCAAGCAGGTTGCTTCTCTGCTTTGCCTTAACTTCCTGCTTGTGAAGAGCCTAGAGACCAATAAAAGGTGGGAGCTTAGGTCCTTCTCAGATATTTTTAGAGCATGTATACCTAGAAATGTGCACATTTCTACACTTAAACATGCAAATGGCCTTCTAGCTTCTCAAGAATATCAGAATTTTTCAAAGCCTCTATACATCTCTTCTTCTTCACTCTTTCCTTCCAAACGTTGTGGTTAATCTACTATTTTTCCTAAGTGTTTCCCATTGCCTCAGATAACAGTAACTAAAACATTTGCCTGTAAATCTTTTTGAAAAATCCTCCTTGGGAGTGTCTTTAGTACTACACATGTTCTGGGTCAGGAGAAATAAAGATAAGTCTTTTCCTGGGGTCTTCAGGAAACTCCTTACTGGAGTCTTTGGGAATTAAAACTGGAAGAACTCTAGCCATGTTCTACTGCACCTGGTACCATGAATGTGGGCCATTCATTTTCAAGGTTTCTGCTAAGCTGGGGAATAGGAGATGGGACTAGAATATGATAAAACGTGGCAAAATTCACTCTTCTTGAGATTTGGGGAAGTTTTCTTAAATTAGTACTCTCTGAGTTGTTGCAAGCCTTCGGTTTGCTTCCATCATTCTGGCAGTTTTCACCAATTTTTCCATTGCTATTTTGAAGGGAGAGATTCTCAGAGGTCCTTATCCCATCAGTTTGGTTGATGTCACCCCCTAGGTTAATTATTTTTTTTTTGAGAGAGAGAGATCAATTTGTTGTTTTACCTATTTATGCTATCGTCGGTTGATTCTTGTATGTGCCCTGAACAAGGATCGAACCCACAACCTTGGGCAAAATGCTATAACCAACTGAGCTACCCAGTCAGGGCCTTCAGGCTGATAGTTAAACTTTGTTGTAGTTTTTTTTCCTTCCAAAATGTCATCAGGTTGTAGCAAATTCCTACTTGGCAAATTTCAGTGCTCAATAAATATTTGGTGAAAAAATGCTACACAATGATGTATTGAAGTGGTCTTGCTCCTATCAGCTGTTGCTGAATTCTCATTTATTCTTTTCCAGAAAGAAAGCATAGCTAAATCAAGGTCCTCGCATTTTATTTAAATCTAAAGTTTCCATTTGCATTTTATAATTTAAAATAATTTTTGTAAAGGATAAAAATTGTTAGGCAAGTAAGTTCATCTCTCTCTCTCTTTCTTTTGCTAATACTCAACCAAAGATATTTTTTTCCATTGATTTTTAGAGAGAGTGGAAAGGTGGGAAGGAAAGAGAAAGAGAGAAACATCAATATGAGGGAGATAAATCAAGTGGTTGCCTCTCAAAGGTGCCCCAACCAGGGTTGGGATCAAACCTGCAACCCAGGTATATATTCTTGATGGGGTATCAAACCCACAACCTTTTGGTGTGTGGGTGCTGCTCTCACCACTGAGCACACTGACCAAGGCTGTAAATTAATCTCTCTTGATATCACTTCCCTCACCTATAACATGAGTGGATTTGAGTAGACTCTCTAAAGAAGTCTCACATTCTTTACTAACCTATGGCATCGATGCTTTAAATGTAATTCATTTTTCTGAAACTTTATAGAATGAATTAATCAGTTTTCTTAGAGTCATATGTGGCCCATTTACCAGTATTAGCATTTCAGGATCTTGTTAGAAATGCAAAATGCTAGACTTTATTCTAGAACTACTAAATCAGCAATGGTGGGGGTGGGGTCTTGCAATGTTTTTAACAAGCTCTTTAGAGGGGATAGTGATGTAGCTGATGTTTAAACCATTGTACCAGAAATTCCCTTGACTCTGTGGTAGGAAATAGTTCACTAATTGTTCTCTGACGATAACATCAGCTTCTGGATACCACGTAAAACTTGCAGCTCTTCTGCATGTATCTGAAATAGCAGACTTTGGCAATATGCAAATTAGATCTGAAATCATTTCCAGGTCCATAAACAGAATTTAAAACATTGGATGTTGGCTTGTGAAATCAGATAATTAATTATAAAAAAATTATGTCATACTTAAAAACCTATTGTGTAAATTATTTCCCATACTTATTTGTAAATTCAGAATTTCCTGGTCATGACATAGATCTGAACTGAAATAAATCATTCAACCTTCATGCTTCTCATAGTTTTCATCTGTAAACAAAAGTGATCTCAATGGAAACTCTAGCTATAAAAATCCTATATTATAGATTTAGATATTCATTAATTTAATTCTGAGAGCATTAAAATATTTAGTATTATATGTCATATATAAGAAGGATTATATTTTTGCAACATTTTTACTATGATGTTTTAGCAATCCAAGCCCATATTCTTCAAAGATTGTGTTTTCATGAGAATATATTGAAGGTAACATAATCAGTTGTTACTTTCATGAGAAAGTTTAATCATAATTTTTGTGACCATGTTCTTTGAACATGGCACAATTCAACCAAGCATGCAAATGTTCTTGCTATTGATAAGCCTCAGTAGTTAGAACCACTTCCCAGAAAAATCTATAAATAAAAAAGGGTTCTCTGTCTCTTTATGTAAAAATTTTCACTTGAAAAAATTGTTGGCACTTTTTTTTCCTAAGGAATTCTCTACCATGAAGATTCAGCTCTTTTTCTTTATTCTGTTCTTTTGGATCACAATTTCACCAGGTAACGTAGAAACATTTATGACTGTATTTGTACTAATGAATTTGAGGAAACATCAGTTATTTTTTGTTAAAAGTATGGCAATAAAAAAGGGATTAAAGCATTTTTTAATACCAAAAGCACTGTGATACTGTAGATTGGACCCTAGAACAGAAAAAAAAGTGTGTGGGGGGGCATAATAGTGAGAAAACAGGTGAAACATAATTGAAGTCTGTAGTTTAGGTAATAGTATTATACTAATAATCACTTCTTAGTTTTGATAAATGTGGCATAGTTAAGTGAAATGTTACCATAGAGGAAATTGGCCAATTATTATTTTTGTAACTCTTCTATAAACCTAAAATTATTTTAAGATGAAAAGTTAATATATATATAAGATCAATATATTATCAGTCTCATCACCTTCATCCTACATCAACTAGTTAAAATCTATTCTTGCTGGGAAAATATTCTTTAACATAATCAACTGATAAAGAGTAGATGGTTCATTTCTAGGGAACAAGCTACTTACTTTTTCTTTTTTAAAAGCTAAGCTAGCATAGTACTTCCAATTAGTAGAAAGCCCTTCTTAAAATTCAGTTCTTAGTACTATCAGCGACTCATGCCCATTCTTGACCTTTAAGTATTTTTAGTCACTACTCATACCTTTGAGTGCTACAGATCATATGAATGTTGAATATATGAGCTCTGTTTTTCATGAGAACTTTTTCTCCCTCATGGACTACATCCTCACATCAAGTATGTAACAAGATTCTCTTCTTCTAAATTAATGTGTAAGTATTAATTATACAGAAACAATTAACTTATTTTTCATTGTGAATATTAGAGAGTCCATTGTGAACATCTAAAAATTTACACATGCCCTGGCCGGCTTCACTCAGTGGTTAGAACACCGACCCTCAGACCAAAGGATTGCCAGTTCTATTCCTGGTCAAGGGCATGTACCTGGGTTGCAGGTTTAGGCAACAAGATGTGTCTCTCTCACATTGATGTTTCTCTCTTTCTCCCTCCCTTCTTCCTTCCCTCCCTTACACGCTATCTAAAAAATCAGTGGAAAGATATCCTCAGGTGAGGATTAACAACAACAACAACAACAACAAAACAAGAAAGTTTAAAAAAAAAAAAAGAACTTACACATAATAAACTGATAAATTATCATTTAAAGGTTGCCAGTGGATAAAACTCTAAATGGGAGGAAAAAATCAGTAAAATAATGAAGTAATGCTGTTGTTAATTTATCTAAGAAAACAACTTCCCTTTCTTCATTCAAAAAGTGTTAGAAAAAGATCTCCCAATTTTTTTCCAGCTCTAGAAAGAGCCAAAATAAAATTCTATTAATATGTGACATTTTTTTCTTAATTTCAACAGCAGCTAATATAATAAATCACTATGCCAAGTGTTTTTTTTTTGTTTGTCTATCTTATATTTCCTTATTACAAGAACATAGATGACCCTACTAATAACTAAGGTTATCATGCATTTATCAACAAATTAAAAAAATATATATGCGTCCTGTAGACTTAGAAATTATAAACCTCTTGAGGGACATAGTGACATAGATTAGAACACTAGTGTTGGCTATTTGTATATGTTTATTATATTTACAAAATGAATTCATTGTCTTTGTTGATTACACATGTACAAAACTTTTAGAGAAGTCTTACTATTACTGACCAAAAAAACAAACTCAGAGTAAAAGAAATATGATATGGGATACAGACATTTTAGAAAATAACAAAACAATTAGATTCTTGTCTTTCATCTCAGTTAGTTCACCAACATATGATAGTTTAACTAAACTGAATAAAATTAAATGTCATTTATGATAGTCACTTATGACAACCTTATACAGTGCTTTAGCTCTTTTTTTTTTTTTTTTTTTTTATACCTTATGTTTAGATGATGAAAGTTCTTACTCAGAATTGAGGTAGAAAAATGTATTCCCAATTAAAACTTATTCCCAGTTACAGATGAAAAAATGTCTAGATTAAAAGTCCTTAAATTGTCTAAGCAGGGAAATTTCCAGTGAAGTCACTGTATTCCTCTTCATTCTCTAGAGCTAGAGTTTATAAAAGCACTGAAGGCCTAGAAATGAAGTATTATTTTATTCTCACCTATTGTTTCATTTTATCTGCCAAATTCAAAAAATGTGCTATTGCCCATAATCACTTTTCTTTGAATCTGACATGTACTTTGATTATAAGATAGAGTGTAGTTTTGTGCTGAAAGGGTGGTCATGATTTTCCCCATTTCCAAGGAGGTGAATGGTAGCCTAGGGAGTAAACTAGCAGATGAGTAAAAATAAGGAATTATGGGGTAAAAATATTTTAGGAATTATCTAGCTCATTTATAGCTTATATAGAAAGTAGGACTTTACATATTGTTTTAAAGAAATCTTCTAATATGCAATATGTATGCTACACATGAGAGCAATGAAAAGAGAGATTACTGTCTTGAAAGTGATCAGCAGAGACTTCAGAGAGAAGATTGTATCTGAACAACGGATCTGAGGGTAGAGACAATGTATGTTTGGCTTATAGCAGCATCACAAGAACAGTGGTTTTCAATGAGAGTCAACTTTGCCCCTAAGAAGATATTAGGCAATATCTGCAGAACTGTTGGATTGTCACAACTGGACTACTGGCATCTAGTGAGTAGACGCCAGGGATATTGCTAAACATCCTTCAGTGAACAGGATAGTGCCCCACAGCAAAGACTTATTCAACCCAAAGGTCAACAGTGCCCAGGATGAGAAACCCTGCTGTAGAGACTGACATAGAGCTTAACGAGGAATACACACAGGCTTGAACTGTGTGGGTCCACTTGTTAATAGAGTTTTTTAAATAAATAGTATAAAATAATTTTCTCATCATCATGATTTTTCTTAACACTTGTTCTTTTTCTCTAGCTTACTTTATTGTAAGAACACAGAATATAATGTATATAACATCCAAAATATGTATTAGTGGACTGTTTATGTTATTGGTAAGGCTTCTAGTCAATAGTAGGCTATTAGTAGTTAAGTTTGGGGGGAGTCAAAAGTTATAGTTGGATTTTTATTTTGTAGGGGTTTGGTGCTCCTAAGCCCTCTTTGTTCAAGGATCAACTGTCTTTAATAGATGAATGAGTCGATGGATGCTTGCAAAGATGAATATTAGTGATCCAAAGACTCAAGTTTGGGGGATATTTATATATTGAGGTCAGATGAAAAGAGAAAAAAACACAATAATTTTGGAAAGGTAAACTAAGACAAAGAACTAATAAAAGAAGGAGTGAGGTCAACTGGACAAGAGTAAATATTGAATAGAACTCTGTTTTCAATATTGTGACAAAACTCTAAAGTGAATGTGATTCAGGTTCTGTCACTAGCAAATTATATATGGGTTTGATAATAAAAATTCCTCAGAAATTGTGCATTAAATAGTGATATTTAGAAGTTAACATTTAATCTGTGCAGAGTAACTGTTTTGTTTGTTTGTTTTTTCCTGCTATAGCCATATTCTGCCCCGCTTCAGTCATAGAGAGAAGAGGGCTAATTTTAATGGAAGAGCTGGGTTTTATATCAGTGATTTATAACAATACAGATAATATAGGTTGATTCTGGGTATTCACTAATAAGTATCATTACTCACCACCAACTGTTAGAAATGCTGACAGAATGTCTAGCAAGAAAAGTCTGGGCTTTAACCAGACTAATTGGGACACAAAACTGTAATCAATGACAGAAATGAGTGGTAAAATTTATTTGATTTCATAGCACAAACACAAAAAAATATTTGAGTCTGTGTTGTACTAAAACACCTGCAAAATTTAGAATTCTCCCACACCACTTGCCCTTAATCTCACCATATGAGTAAGACCATTACTTATAAAAAGGGATGTGTATAAAAAAATAAATTAAAAAGAAAAAAGAAAAGACTCTAAAACAAAGGGCTTCTAAAAACACATGGGCCAACATATAATGTGAAATATAAAATTAGAATATATTTGGCTTGAAAAGGATCTTACAGCTTATCAGACCAACACCCCCCAATTCCCCAAGTATCTTCCACTATCCTAAATAATAAACTTTTAGTGAGTGTCAATCTGTAGCTTGGAGCCCTGATAATTTTAGAAATCATGTCATATCCATGACATGTCACACCTTGTAGACATTCCTTTTTTTTTTTTTTTATCCTCACCTGAGGACATTTTTCAAATTTTGTTCAGGTAGGGTAGGACGGGGGGAGAGGAAGAGAGAGAGAAATATCGATGTGAAAGGGACACATCGAGTGGCTGCCACCCACACGACCAACCAGGGCTGGGGACAAACTGCAACCGAGGTACATGCCCTTAGCGGGAACCGAACCTGGGTCTCTCGGGACCACAGACCGACGCTCCAACCCCTGAATCAAACCGACCAGGGCTAGACATTCCCATTTTTAAAAATCAGTGTTGTCATCAGACATGTGTCTAAGTTAGATCATTTCATCCAAGAAGTAAAACCCATAATACCTAGGAGAGTTGTAGGAAGTCAAATTGCCTAACATTGCCTCTCTCTGTCAACATTTTAGAAAAGTAAAATCAAGCTGCAATAGAAATCTGAAGATCTCATAAAGCACACTATTTCATCTAAATAATGTTTGTGAAAGCAGAAAACGGGGAACCCAAGTACAATTAGATGATTGTAGAGACTAAACCCAACAGCAGATCAATTATGAACACCTTATTTCCTGTTGACTTCAGGAACTACCCTTGAATTGCCATCTAGATATACATAAGGCAGCAAGCTAGTACACCTCACTTAGGTCCAAGGCATTTTCTGATTTGACCTTGCACCAATAGATGGTACATTCGCTTCACCTCTCCTAAGTAAAATTTTCGCAGTCATAAATTAGAAGGGGCGCTTTTCTTTTGCCCTGCTCCATGACCTTTCAGTTCTTGAACTTTCTCCTTTTAAAATATGGGTGTCACAGCTAGATTGCTAATCTCAGTCATTCTTTCCTTCTTACAGCCAAAAGGAGCTATCCCCACTATGGTAGCTTGGATTTGAGGAAAGAGTGCAGAAAGGGTAATGGTCGTTGTAAACTTCAATGCCAAGAAACTGAAATTAGGATTGCTTACTGCATGAGACCTGCAACTCATTGCTGCTTGCAGAAGTACAGATGACAGAAGAAAAAGAAAGAGACACATGGTCCAAGAAGAGAGGACCAGAGTTACTAAGCCTTCCCAGCACTTCCTTGAAGGCCTGTGTATCTCTGTAATACACAAAGAATTAAATAAAATTTAATATGGACCCATTCAGAAGTGGTTCATGTCACACATGTATCTGGTGCCTTTACACTGTATTTTCTCTTGATGTCTTGGTACCAGAGTAAGCAGAATTTATTTTATGGAAGTTCCTTAACAACTATTCAAAATTCTATGTGCCTTGTGTGAGTTAATGCAAGTAATGTGAGAAACCCTAGGTCAAAGACATGGGAGGAGGATATTTCTGAGACACAAGCTAGCCGTAGAAATGCACTGTTACTTTATTATTAAATACTGTTCAATAGATAATCCCATGAAGAAATATAAAACCACCCTGGATGATTTGGCTCAGCGGTTAGAGCATCAGCCCACAGACCAAAGTGTTGCAAGTTCGATTCCGGTAAAGGGCAGGTCCCTGGCCCTGGTCAGGATCATGTGGGAGGCAACCAGTCGATGTGTCTCTCTCACATCAATGTTTCTCTCTCTCTCCTTCCCTCCTTCCCTCCTTCCCACTCTATCTGAAGATAAATGAAAAAATATCCTCGGGTGAGGATTAAAAAAAATATGTATGTATGTATACACATATACATACATACATACATATACATATATACACATCCACTGGGCTGGAAAAAATTGGACATTGGGAGAGTAGATTCTTTGCATGAGAGACATAGAGCTTAAGTGAGAAAATGACAAGAATGAAAGAACTCAAGAGCAGAGGAAAATCACAACAAGCTCCAACTTCCATTCTTATTTACTATTTAGTGGAGAAAAAAAATAGGTATCAGGAAATAGAGGAGGGCGTAAGAAAGGAGGAGAAGAATTTCAGAAAGGCAAAGAAGCTTTACATAATTAAATATTTTGACAAAGGAAGTCAGAAACTTCGACTAATAGCTGAATTCACCTCCTCAGTCCTGGGAGATGACTTTGACCAAGGGTACAGACAGCGAAAGAAAGGAAATCTTTCCTCTTTAGCTGCTTTTGCCTGAGTTCTTCTTATTACTACTTTCTGAGAAGTCCACAGTAATTTTCCCAAAAAAACTCTCAACCATACTTCTGTATCACACAGTTTCTATTAAAAAAAAAAAAAAAGTAAAATCTGCTTCTTTTATGAGTTTTGGAATACAATTAAATTGTATTAATTCTTAGTTTTCAAATATATCAATACTACAAGATAGTAATAGAAAGCGCCAGAAACTTTCCTTTCTCTCCAAAGTAAAATTGAATATTTTCATTGTAATTGAACTAAAGAAAAAGGAAATTTATTGAGTGTATACGTGGGGATCAGATTTGGACTCAGATAAGAAGTTAAAGAATTCCCAGGCCCCACCTACTCTCTTGATTATATTCCTCACCCGAGGACAATTTTGCATTCATCTTCAGATAGATTGGGAGGGTGCGAAGGAAGGAGAGAGTGAAACATCGATGTGAGAGAGACACATTGACTGGCCACCACCCACACGACACAAACCAGGGCTGGGGACAAACTGCAACAGAGGCACATTCCTTTAGTGGGAACCAAACCTGGGACTCTCTGGTCCACTGGCTGATGCTCTAACTGCTGCCCCAAACCGGCCAGGGACTCTCTTGATATTTTTATTACAACATCTCATTCCATTTTCTAAATGCAGATATGAGATCTGAGGATCTATGTTCATACTAACCATTATCTGTTTCAGTGATATTCACAAGGAAAGCATCTTTTTTCTGTTTTGATCGTTTCTAGATATATTTCTATCACAAGAGACTGATTTTCCGTTTCATTTCAATAATCATGAGTTTCATTATGAAACAATTACTTGCTAAGCATACATGAGAGCCTTACATACATTATCTTTCATATATTTTATAACTTCAAAGAGATGTTGATTGTTTAATGCGTTGCCTTATGGTATACATCTCTTCAAGAGTGTTTTTACAATATTCATGTAAACAGGTTTCTCAACCTCAGCACTATTGGTATTTGGGTCCAGGCAGTTCTTTCTTGTGGGTTGGGCTCTGTGTCTTTAGCTGCAGGATGTTGGTCGCATCCCTAGCCTTTACCCATCAAAGGCCAATAACACTTCTCCTGATGATGACAATCAAAAATGTCTACCTACATAGACAATATCCTATTTCAGGGGACTGGGTTAAAACCCCTGGCTTATAATTAAGTACTCATTCTCGCGGAAATTCAAAAATGAAAATGGAAACAAATAAACAAAAAAGTAGTTTTCATATAGTCAGTACATTTTCTGTGTCTCATGAGAGCACATATCTATTTGAAATTATCATATTTTGTTATATATGGACCACAGATGATAGATTGGTGACTTTAGGGAAAAATTAGTCTAACCTTTGGACAGTAAATATATCAGTCATGCTGAGAAGGAGATTAAATTAAATGCTTGTTATAAAAGTTTATTATGTATTCCACCTAAGTAGAGACTGGGCCATCATTATATCAGGACTTATAAAGTGGAATTGAGAAGCTTAATATACTATTAATAGGGGGCAAATAAGAATTGAGCTTTTCAGTGGCCACCTCATAGTGCTCAATGGTGAGAGGTGTTCAGGAAGACACTCAAAGCATCTCTGCACATGAGCTAGTCTGTTCTGGACACAGTATTTTTCTCATTACACAATACATATCCAAATCAGTTAAAAGCATTGTGTTGAAATGAGGTATACCACCATTTAACCCCATCACAGGACTAGGAGGTAAAGAAATAGAATTGTACTTAATGTCAAATATTAAATCCCTAACCATTTCAGGATGTATTTCACCTCATTGTACTGGGGGAAGAACAATATTTAATTCCAATTTGTCATGCATTTATTCAAATAACATTTGATTCATGGCTCGTTTCTTCCCAGGTATAATGCCACAGGCTTTAAATTTAGAGGTAAAAAAACAAACAAACAAACAAAAAAATTGCTCCTGTCTTCAGGAACTGATCATTATTGACCGTAAAATGAGCTTTAAGTACTATCCAATTTGATAGAGTTAAAATTGTAATAAGACATAGGATCTGCCCCAAGAAGATCAATGTCAATTCATAACACAGACAGCACCTGATATAAACACTTTATGCCATATCCCCTCTCTCGTTTGTTCACCAATTAATGATTCCTCATTGAGAACCTGCCATGTTTTAGCTGTAATATAAGATTGGGACACATTAATAGAAAATATCGTCTATTTTTGTGAAGCTCATAATCTAGATGTGACTGGAGAGGATATTTGGTCAGACAGGGAATGTGTTGACGTGTAACCCAGAGCTCTTAAGGAAGGATCTTGCTTTTTATTCTGAGAGAAATCCAATACGTTTTAGCTAAGGAAAAACATGATTCGAATTTTGCATTGAAAAGATTTCTCCAAAGTGCTTTCATGAGTTTGGAGGTATTGAAATAATATAGGTAATACATTATGGTAGCTCAGTCCAGGGTGGTGTGGTTCTAGATGCACTATAGGTGAGAGTTAGATTTCATTAGAGGTTTTTTTTGTGTGTTTTGTTTTGTTTTTCCCTCAAGCTACTTTCTGGTCTGCCTTATTTTATTTTTTACCAAACATCTTTAAAGTAGCCTCGACTCGCTGTCTCCACTCTATCAAATTTTATACACTCTTCGCCCCAATACACTCACCGATAGCAATTAATTGAAAACTTGCTAGTATTATAAATATTTTCCTAACTTCAAAAACAAAGGTCTGTGTTAATGATCTTGCTAGGCATCTGAACACTGCTCTAGTTGCTCACTATTTCGACGATTATTAATTGACTTCTCCATTTTTGATAGTCTTTTAAATGCAGTGACCTCTAGTGTTTTGTCCCTGAATCCCTTTTCTTCTTGTTTGATATGCTTTCCTGAGATGATCTTGTTCACTACAATAACTTCTGTCATCAGCAAATGTTTTTTTTTGTTTGTTTGTTTGTTTGTTTGTTTGTTTTCTCAATCTCCTTCCCAAACCACACAGCTGCATTTATTACTAGTTATGGAGCTTACATATCTAGCTGGCTTCCAAATTCTTTTTGTTGTTGTTATTGTTGTTGTTGTTCAGACAGATTGGAAGGGAGAGAGAGAAAGAAAGAAACATCGATGTGTGAAAGGGACACATTGAGTGGCTGCTTCCTCCATAACGCCAACCAGGGCCGGGACTAATGACAACCGAGGTACATGCTCTTGGCCAGAATTGAACCCACGACTCATTGTTCCACTGGCCGATGCTCTAGCGACTGAACAACACTGACCAGGGCCAAATTCTTTAATCCTGATATGTCCAAACTCATCTTACTCACAAAGGCTATGTCTGTCCCCTTTCTTTGCACTGTTTCACTGATGGTTACTCTCAACCACTTGGTATTAAGGGCCAAGACGCTTGACCTCATTGCTGCTGTATGTCCCAGTCCTCTTCCCCCAAATCTAAAAGTTCACTGGACTGCTCCTGATTCATAACTGTATCCCATGTCACTTTCTCCACTTTATTTGACATCTCCTTGATTTAATTATCTTTTCCATTATTTCTTATTTAGAATATTCTGACAATCCTCCACCTATCCTCTCTGCTGCAAAACCTAGGAGAAAATGGTGCTGAAGGTCACTCTAGTTTCACCAGTCCATTCATAGCATCCAACCCCTCAGCCTCACAGGTCCTTTGTCACGTGCGCCTAATTTGACTTTGCTTCATTTTCTGAGGTCCATATCCATGTCATCATGTCACTTCAGTCATGCTAAAAGTCACACCATTCCTCATTGATCACGAATTCTTTCAAAATCCCATATTGATGTTTAGGTTTCCCCTCAATTCCTTCAGAATACTGACTTTTCGAAATGCAACCAAAAGTCACATATTCAGTGAAGTGATTGAACACGGAGGAGTTTAAAGTCCAGTGTGACTACGTGTGAATGCGCCCTCCTCTTCTGTTACCTCTGAAACT